TTTGGTTAATTTTGTGACAAGAAACATGATCTAAGCTTTTAGGGCAAAAATCAAATGACAAAAAGGCAAATATGGAAAATGTCAAACACTTCCAAAAAGGGCTTACCTTGCCTCTTAATTTGAAGAGGCTCTGTGGCCTTCTGCCCTGTAGCACCCTCATTCCTGGGATTGAGGATCACATACTTGTTCTTTAAGCTGTCCAGTTGATAAGAGAACCCCTTGCTGGCAGGCTCGAACTCTATCTTCTGCAAAAGGACCTTCTTGGCAGAAGAAGCCAACAGTTTATTAAGGTCCCCCTCATCTCCTGTCTCCTTTCGGCCGGGTTTTAATGCCTCCTTGAGTTTATCCACTATCGGCATTGTTGGAACATCACTGCAGAGGAAGATAGACAAGGTGTCAAATGTCGTAAATATTTTTGAACAGTCACATCACAAGAGGCTGCACAAAATAATTAAGCTTGTTCACCCAATTTCCCCAAAGGGATCTATAGCATATGCTCTTCTCACATCTACACCCAAACGCACCTCACAGTACAGTTAAAAGTGGTGAAGGTAAAACTTGTGTTGATCTAATTAATGTTGAAATAATCCCTCAGCTAAGTGTTTATTACCACCCCTGTCTGTTTATGCTTCAGTAGGTACCTCTCCAGGCCACATATCCTGACGTGGCTCTGCGATAGATATGAGTGCATCTGAGGAGCCAGCTGGGTCTTGGCAGCTGTCCCCACAGTTATGCAAGCCATCAGACGTTGAGAACAGAGGGAGCGGGTGTGTGAATGAGATGGGAGAGGATCAGCATTTGAAGGACATGAGGTGTAAGCAGCTGCTGTTAACTGACAAGTCAAATTCTTCTACATCAAATTCTTACACACGCCATTTTCTCACCCAAATCAGTGTTTTACTTGCTATCTTGATTCTGTAATGCGGCGTGATTCTTCAGTAGATTTTGTCATCTGTAATATGAGAGATGCAAAAATGGCTTGAAAATGTGAACACATTTGCATCATTAGCTGTCAGCTATCCCATTTACATACAGTGGAGCTGAGAGCACTAAAAGGACCATTTCAGTTCAGATAATAGCGTGTGCACATTTCCACAGCAACCCTCTGCCAGAGTCGGTCCAGTGAATGACTTCTGACGTGTCATTTTCTACAAAAGGCAGCAGGCTGACAAAATGTTTTCAGTGCTGACTGAGCGGTGAGTAAAGCAATCATTCAGTCCCCCTTTTGCCTCAATTTACTCCCGGTGTAGCCAAGGTGCCCCTAACACAACAAAACCCCCACTAACAGTGAAAGCATTGCATCGTGTACATTTTACTGTACTGCACTAAAAACAACACCAAAAGGCATGGAGCGACATAAACGTCGTGCTCATCAGAGTGGGCAGTGACGTCATGAGGAGAGAAGGAGGGCTGAACAAGCATTGTACGCACAAGGGCAAGCTGACCTTCACGTGCTGCTGATACGACTAAGAAAGACACAGAGCACAGCCACACAGCTAACTGCAGTGATGCTACTGCTAGGACCAGGCAGCATTGTTGTATTTAGCACAATTCAGGTGTTTGATTTGATTATTAGGTTGTGATCATTTGTCATTTTATTATTTCACACTGACACTTTTTAATGTTTACACTTGAATATTAAAGGTCTTGGCAGCAACATTGACAATGAGCCAACGTTTTGATAATTTGAGGAATTTACCCATATATCTAGGTATTAATATTAGCTGATGACTACCGATGGCTTACTCAAAAAATACTAACAATGTTATTTTTGAGATATAGCCTTACTCATTACTTCAACCACTGTTTACTTCAACCACTTCAAGTAACGACTCTGTGATTAATATGTAAAAAACTGTAATAAAGTGTTTGTCTTGCACACTTAGATACATCCGTGGATGTGTTAATATAGCTGCTTTCAGACATGCACACTGAACTCTGCAGTGCCGCAAATGTCCGAGTGAGATGATCCACAGTTTCTACCTCCTAGTATAAATCAAGAGAAGTCGATGTGTGAACACAGCAGGGGATCCACCACTGGATTCACCGCGAGTGGGGGTGGGGGTAATGACGCCTCTAACAGGCAACAGATGCAAAAATGACGACAAAAAAACAACAAAAAAATATCTACCAATGAAAAGGTGGTGACACACACATAGAAGAGACCGATAAGATGTCAAGAGATTCTGTGGTGATAAGACTGACACTGTGTCTGCTTATTGTCAAGAAAATCATGTGATCTATGCAGCCAGTCTATACGTCGCTGTCCTGTCTGTCTCTTTTCCTAAAAACGCAGAGGATTTGTTGCTGTTGTGAACGCATCTATGCAGAGAACCTCTCGCTGTGTTGTGCATGTGTAAAAGGCAGACTACAGGTAAACCCTGTAACCAAACTCTGGATTTTACCTGCAGGTCATGTCTGAAAACTACATCTGATGATGCAAATGCAGGCCAAACATTTGCAAAACAAACATTATGTTTCCCTCAAATTTCAGGCAGTGTAAATGTGCATAAGAAAAACCGCGATGTGGACCTTAAAAGTCCAAATTTGAATTATCCATATATCCAGACTCGTTACCGTATCTAATCTTCCTAGCTGTTTTAAACACTTGTGTTTAAAATATATAGATTTTACGTTAGTGGCAAATACATCTGCAAATCCCCCAAAATACCTTATTTCCATCTGCATCTGAAGGTTTAGGTTACCCTGGAATTGTATACAACAAAAGGTATGGTGCTTTTCTGTTGTTCATTAAGTTTTTTTTCTTTTACAACAAAATCCCTTCAGGAAATAAGTATCAAAATAGCTACCCCCACCTTGGCCAATAAAAAACTAAACTCCCTTAGAGCTGTAACAATGAGCTGATAAATACATGTCCATTTCACAGTAAACTAAATGTCTCACGGTTTTAGGATGGACAAAAATGTGGGATGTGTTTGGCAGATTAATAGTAATATTAACAAATACTGGTACTACTTGTTTAATAGTGTCCATATCACTCCAGGTCACTCAGGGATATTTACACCTAAAGGACTGAGGAGTGAGTTACATGTGATGACTTCAAGAGCTTCCAAAATCATTGTAAATATGATTTACCCAGACACAAAGAGTAGATAAGACTTTAAACATTACTTTTAATTTATAAAGTAAACTTTCTTTTAGCACATTAATAATCAATTCAACTGTTTTGTTGGCACTAAAGCTACTGGATCACTTCATTTTAAACAAACACACACAACATCAGCAACCAAAGAGCAAACAGTTTCTACAACAGGATTATTTACAGGAGCACCTGAACGCACATGTGTTCAGTCGTGGATTAGACTTGCGGATGGGGGACTTTAGGGGGAGCACCTGAAGGCAGCACCGTAACTGCTGTCACTTCTTAAATCCCTCTTTTAGTTTAGCTAGTTTAGACAACTAGTTAACTCCCTGGCCTTGCTGGTTATCACTTCTCCGGGTTAATAAGCATCGTTATAAACACCAAACAGCAGCGAGTGAGCCTCCTCCACACCAACTGGACTCTGCTCCCCGCACCAGTCATCTTAGCTTCAAATGCTAACTTGCTAACCTCAACCACGGCTAATATCGACCGCAACGGTCTCGGGTTCAGAGATAAGACGTCGCAGTCACCTTGACAAAGACGCAACAGCTTCTACAATGTGGGATCTGTATTTTTCTGCTGTCGTCTGCGTCTTATTTCGCCGTTTTCGCGCTTCACAGCAGCTGCAGCGGTTTAGCCAGCGAGCTAGCTTAACGTGGCGAGAAGCCTCCGTCCCCCCTCACTGCAGCAATGTGGGTTAGCATCTCTGCGTCCGGGTGGCTAACGTCCCCCACATTGCGCCTCTCTGCCCGACAGCATCCAGCTGGAAACAGCCGCCGACACACGGCGCGTTTGTCCGCGGGACGTCGGTTCACTCACCTTGGCCCCAACCGTGTTAAATCGTTGTCAGTAGAGAGCTCCGCTTCCTCAGCTGTAGCTTTCCGATCTGCTATTTTCGCCCATGCTGCATTATCAGAGGGCGGTGACCAGGGTGATTGACGGGGATCAGGGTCCAATCGGGGAGCAGGTCGCGCCGTCGCTGAGCGGCTCGGCCAATTGGCGCTCGGGAGAGAAGCACACGTGACTTCCAGCCAGCGCTGTTTACCACTGACTCTGAACATGTTAAAAAATTATTAATGTGACCACGAAACTTCCTGTGTTCCATTCTACATGTTTGTTTGACTGCATGTTTGTTTACATGTATGTTTATATGCGTGCTAAGGATGCATCGCTGTCACTCGCTTGCAACAAAATCCCTCGAGACTTCAAATCGCTTCCCTCGTGACAACTTCCCACATCACTACTTTGATTGAAACAAACATGATTTATTGTATTATTTGTATTATTATTAGTATAATTAGTATTAGTAGCAGCAGTACTAGTAGTAGTGTGTAGATCTCCTGATGCATGCTTGTAGTTTAACTGGTGTAAGAAAAAAAAAAATATTTTACCTTAACATTAATAAATTCTTGCAATGCTAATATAGTAAACCATGAATGATTGGACATTGTGTCATGTTTGAGAATAACGCATGTGTGCACATGGATGGGCCCGTGGAGGAATGTAAATGATTGTCACACGTTGGTGTCTCCAATAGGTGGCAGCAGACTGCTGTTGTTGTGTTGCAGGGTTGTTTTACTGTCCTGGCCTTTACAGATCCTGTTAAATACTAATTTAAGAAACTTATAATAAAAACAATAATGCATTATACACTGTTTAAGTACATTTTACTGTTTAACTAGCTGTTTCCTTCAAGAAAGTGAGGTCTTGTTCTCTGAGCCTGTTCGGATCATCACAATAAAGTTACGTTTCCGCTAGAATTGTAATATTCAATTTACATAACTACCCAACAAAGGCCCTCTGATTCTCTACAGGATTCAAAGTCCTTCAGAATAATTTGAAAACTGGAGATTTTCCTCAGTGTGAGCATTGATGTAAAAAATGACCAGAGCAAAGCTAGTCAAAACAGGGTTTGGGATTTAATATAATAGTCAAATGTACAGTATTGATTCAGTCGGACATGCATGCAAAACTCATCTCATATCAAAAGTCCCATGTGAAACCAGCACAAGACATCATCATACTTGACTACAGATTCCGATCGAGATTGTTTTTTCACACTCATTAATTTATAAAGTCACTTATCATCCGATATACATGTTTATGTTCATTCTCGTGGCTCTGCAATAAAACTGATGTTTGGTTAGAATGTGTTCTTGAATTCAGTGCCCCACAGGTAGAGACAGTAAACAATAAGGCCAACAATTTGACGTTGACGACTTTCAAAACTTTGTGTATTTTGAAAGAAACTGTTAAAATACTCTTCTGTGTCGTTTGTCATAAAAAAGTATCAAAATTAGGGCTTCTCTTTTGAATACATGGTTGAATCACAATATCTCCTTAAATAAAATATGTTCTTACAATTACCAAAGCATTATTAAGAGAAGAGCTGTAATATAAAAAAAACACATCATACAAAATGGAGGATTCAATCCTCTTTTTTTCAGACAAGAGACGATATGACTAATGTGATCATTGTGTTCAAAGTGCATACTTGTCTATTCAGGATTATTTAAAAAAAAACAATTACCAAAGCATGTATTGTGTGCACAGGCAGCAACATGCCACTCTTTTACTCAAAACAGCTTTCCCACACGTTAAAAAAACAGAAGCCAAAATATTTGCATAGAGCACAAAAAAGAATAGTACAAGCATATTGTGGCATTAACTCTGTGGTGGCTCTGCTGCCGATTATCAGCTCATGGTTTTAAACAACACAGAGACTCACAGAATTAATACACTGTGAGTTTTAGATATGTATGTATGCGTTTCATTATAGAATTGAAGTTCCTTGGGTTAAAAAAGGAAAAGAAAACTAGTAATGAGAAATTACTAGCGCAGAAACAAAAGTACAGCAAAGAGTAACCCTAAATTATGATGATTATCCCTTTATTTCAGCAGAGGGAGAAGTGGTTTATGAGGAAGTGCTTTAGATTTTGGGGTAGAAGCATCAGAAAGTGCTGAATTCATAAGACTGATGGATAAAAAAACCTAATGAGTCCTGCAACTAAATATCAAAAGTAAAAAAATTCCCCAATCTCACCAGAGTACACACCTTGCAGCTTTCTTAATCAGAAGAAAACTAAGTAAGTTGTGTCGACTTTTGTATTTATTTCTGCTTGTGGTATTTAAATCTTTGTTTCAATGCTGGAGATCCTCAGACCATATAGGACAGTGGTGGAGTTAAGGGTCCTCGATGTCCAGGAAATCCTTTTTGGGCGGCGCAGCTCCTCTGTACCAGGCACAAGAGTCATCACTCCTCTTGATGCAAGCATAGTGTTTGGCCTGCTCTCCATAGACCTCCTTCTCAATTAGCCAGTCTGTCCACAGGCACTCTGCTGGGCCGCTGACTGTGCAGGGGACAGAGGTGCAGCGAGTGATCTGAGGAGGGGGAGAGGAGACCAAGATCAGTGGACTTACAACACACAATGCACCTCAAGATTATTTTCACAATCTGATTCGCTGATTTAACTACTGACAACACTTCAGGTTCTCTACCTTGCAATCGCAGCCCATATCGTAGCGCTCAGTCAGGCTCTTTCTCTGGGTGTGAGTCAGGGCATCCCAGGGCTCAATGAATTGGCACAGTGTGACATGCATCTTCCCATCACTCTCCAGTCGGCCTAAAGTGAAGAGAGATAGAGAGATGAAGAGGAAGTTAGATGATGTGATGATATGAGGGAATCATTCGCGTTATATTTTATAATGCACGATTGGTAAGGTTCCATGATTCCAATCCTGGTTTGGCTTCATGCACATTGGTGGTAGGTTAAATTGAGACTCTTAATTGACCATAGATGTGAATGAGATGAGATGAGATGAGATGAGATGAGATGAGATGAGATGGATTGGTAGATGAGAAATACGGGTGCATTATACCTGTGATGAGATACTCCTCGCCATTAGTCTTCAGATTGACTCCACACACTGCAGAGGAGGAGGCAGTGTAGATGGCATCGATGGCCTCGCTCGGACCTTTGAACATCTGACATTTTAAACAAAGGAGTAAAAGGTAAGAATTGAGAATTGGGTGCATGACCAAATATAAACAGCTAATTAAATAATCTACTCCATATACCTTGAGCTGTTTGATGTCATACTTGATCTGTGTGATGGGGTATCCATAGATATTGTTGCCAACTTCAATCTCCTGAGATCCAACTACCTTTGCCCTGATAACTGGAAAAAGACAAAAAAGAAATGAAAAACCATGACACACATCTAAATGCATTATGTTTGAGAACAGAGTTTCTGAGTGAAACACTATTGACATGTTAAAACTGAACTACATCTAGGTCTGTCTGTATCTGATCTAAGCCCTGCCCTGAGTTTGGCACGCCACAGTTGGCCACAACACATTGCTGCGGCTTGGATCTGTGGAGTTTGCATGTGCCAGGTGCTGGGAAGACAGAGGCACATGAGTGTTTCATCAGCTGCAATCAGAGGGAGGAATGTGCGCTGCCTTCTCCCCGGCTCCTGGGCCGACACAGGAGGAAGCCAGTCAGCAATCTTAAAAAAGCTGAACTAGAAACGTTCCCCTCGCCCCCAGGCCTCTCTGCCAGCCTTGCCTCTCTGTCTGGATTGAGGTGCTGACATGCAAATACACCCCTCTCTCTTTTTGTGCGCAGCCTTCCCCCCCAACTGTCCCCCTCTCTCTCTCTCCATTAAAGTTCCAGTTCCTGGATTCATTGAGGTTTGGATGGGCAAGAAATATAACAGTTCAAGTGGAAAAATATTATCAGAGCCATGTCGGATGAGCCTCAGAGCCCATATACAGAGTATTCAATAAAAAAACATGACAAATATGTTTCGCAAACATTTCTGTCCTGTGAATCCAAAAGCTAAAGTATTGCACCATACCTCAGTCATAGCTACTTCACTGTACATGCACATGACTACTGTAGTGACAAAGGTTTACAAATTCACATGTAAAATCTATATTTTCAGCGAAGGAAGCTAGTGACAGAGCTGATGTTAACCAGATGTTCCCTCTGTAGTCCCACATGAGTTGTCTCTTTCCCGAGGTGGCAGCTCCCGTCTGCCTCGGACCATCACAGGCCACCAAATAAAGATAAAGCCTTTTAGCTTGTGTTTTTACACGATGAAAGGCATGAAGCTGTGAGCCACATGGGCCCTAATTCACTGTCAATAGAGTCTTCGAGAACATCTCCTTTTAAGGGTCTAAAGAGGCGACCTTTAACGAGAGCAAAACAAGTGGGGGGAAAAAAGACAAGAGTGTGTGCAGTCTGGGAGAGTGACAGAGTGATGAGGAAAGGACAGACAGGAACAGCTTTGCAGATGTAGTAACAGTGTCCTGTGCAAACAGAGAGAAGTCCTTCAAAAGCAGAACTAAAATAATGTCACAAACATACGAGTTGACAGGGGGAGGAGGAGTTTGAGAGCAGAAGAGACTGGAGGGGGGGGATTTAGTTCGTAGCCAGGAAAATGTGCAAAACACTGAGCTGGCACAGCCTGCGTGAGCCTCTCTGTGTGTCGAGAGAGCTGCTGCAAAGTAGCAGATATACTCACAAACAAATACGTGGTTTAGAATGACATGCTGCACCTCGTGATGATCCATCTACACCAGTCAAGATGTTTCTGGTTTACAAACTCCCTCACACACTCACTCTCACCCAGAGTTAAAGAAAAAGAAATAAAAAAACTCCAACTTCTCTGGCTACAAAGTGGATTAGTGGTAATCCCCTTTGCCTGAGTGTGCAGACTCACACACAGATCACTTCTCCTTCTACTGGTGTAAAGTAGGCCAGGTGAAAATATGCACAGTATGTACAAAAAGAAAAAAGAAAACACTGAAATATGAGGCTTTGTGAGGGTGAGTGTTAGCTCTTAAAAAAACATTCAACATGCTGAAAATAGACAAATTATTCATATAAAGATGCAGATTAAGGTTCTATGTGTTTTCTCCTATTCATCATTTGCAGATCATCTATAATAAAGCAATTCAAACAATAATCCATGAAAACAAGCTCCAACTTTGCCAGTGCAGGTTCCCCTGATGGTTTGTTCTCTATAGTTGAAGTAATAATAACAATTTTCTGTCCTGATATACAGTGCAAACGTGATTCTCACAGGAAAAGACGGTATTTACTGAAACAGGCTGACCATGCCCTTTGACAAAATGATGCGTCTCGTAAAAGTGGGAGCTGTGGGAAACATCTAATCATCTAGTTGCTCAAACAATAAACACATTATTTTGTATGTAGTATTGTGGTCGTGTGTGTGCCCTGCAAAAAAAAGAGACTGAAGTAAATGCATTTCATGTAATTGCAGGGCCTGTACATTCATTTTACTCTCAGAGAAGCCACAAAGCGGTCAGAATTTGAACGAGGGAAACTAAACGTTGAATTCAAACCAACTCCTCTGCTGATTCTCTTCAAGGATCTTGTTTTACATTAAAAACTGAATTTCCCTTTCTTTTTACTACTCTACTTTTTTTATTATGAGGCTGATGTACAATTGTTCACAGATTCGAAAAGCCAAGTTTCAAAGTGACATTTTTGCACATTGACGTGAACCTGCCGCACAGATTGATCCGTTACATTCTCAGAGGGGGATGCTGGAGTTTAAAGCAGCTGTTGTGAGAGCTTGCACACACTCAGAGGGGAAATCTGGTTTTAATGTCAGCTCTGTTTGCACAGCTTGCAGGACTGTGTTTATACCGGAAGCCACGTCAAAGCCGGCTTTCCTTTCAAGGTCTCGAAGTGATTCGCTCGCCCTCTTTTCACAAAATAAAGCAGCGCAGGTATAATCACAGAGGATTGTAAAATAAACTGCAGATACATGATGAGCGCAGCATATGACTGCACAACATTCCTGTGCCTCAGCCAAAGACCCAGAGGATGGATTTTCGATTAGTTTTTTGTTCTTGCTCTGTAAGATAAATTAAACTACATGTTTACAACTCAAGTTGATCTGTTATTTTATTTTTGTCTACAGGAGAGGAAAGATAAATTAAGCCATCGTTTAATGAAATAATGTGAAAAAAGTAAACTACTTTCTATCAGCATCTTCCAAAAGTCTCAGCTTTGACCTCATTCACTGTGTGCTGACTTTGCCTCACACATAGGAAACTATTTAAAGTGTGACGTCATCAAAACTCACACTGAAACTGTCACATTCAAACATATGACACAAACCTGGACTTCTCTTGAGCAACACTGAAACTAGGTTTGCAAATGACTCTTGTTGTTAACTAAGCAGGAATTAATCAAGGCAATGTCTAACTGTGTAGAAACAGCATA